GTACCGCACACGCGCGTTCCCACCCCAGTCGGCGTCCGTCGCCCGCACCACCAGCACCAGCGCGCCCGCCGCGTTGTTCTCCCGCAGACGCGCGCTGTAGCGCTCCTGCGAGAACACCGGCGCGTTGTCGTTCACGTCCAGCACCCGCAGCGCCAGCACCCTGCTGCTCTGCAGCGCCGGCCACCCGCCATCGGACGCCCGCACTGTCACGTTGTACTCCGACTGCTGCTCCCGGTCCAGCTCTCTCGCTGTCACCACGCGGTAGTGGCTGCCTTGCGAGCTGTCCAGCCGGAAAGGGAGACTCCCGTCGAGAGAGCAGCGCACGTCGCCATTGGCCCCCGAGTCTCTGTCGTGCACGTGCAGCAGGGCCACCACCGTCCCCGTCGGGGCGTCCTCCGAGATCTCACTCAGCGCTGACCTCACAGAAATCTCCGGCGCATTGTCGTTTACGTCTGTCACGCTGATCACTACTTTCGCCGTGTCGGAAAGGTCTCCGCCGTCTCGAACCTGAATCTCCAGTTCATAGTAGTTGCCTTCCTCAAAGTCCAAGTTACGCATCAACATAATCTCTCCTGTTTCGGCGTCAAGCTGAAAAATTTGCGAGGCTTTCACAGAAAGTGCTTGATATGAAAATTTCATGTGCCCGTTTATACCCTCGTCGGGGTCGGTGGCCGTGACGGTGACGAGGGTGGAGCCCACGGGCACGTCCTCCGGCACACGCACCGTGTACTCCGCCTGGCTGAACACGGGCGCGTTGTCGTTCGCGTCCACCACCGTCACGCGGATCCGCGCCGTGCCCGTCCGGGCCGGATCGCCGCCGTCCATCGCCCTCAGCACCAGCTCGTGGAACGCCGCCTCCTCCCGGTCCAGCGCCTTCGCCAGCACCAGCTCGGGACGCTGATCCCCGCCGGGGCCCGTCTGCACGGCCAGCGAGAAGTGCTCGTCGCCGCTCAGCTCGTAGCTCTGCAGGGAATTCTGTCCCCAGTCGGGGTCATGAGCCCTGGCTAGGGGAAATCGCGACCCCAGAGAAGTTGTCTCACTCACTCTCAGCTGTTTTTCTGCCTCTCGGAAGCTGGGCGCATTGTCGTTAACGTCCGTTACTTCCACTTCTATTCCATAAACCTTCATTTCCCCCTCCACTATCAGCTCACAGCGCAGCACGCATTGCTCCACACTCTCGCATAAATCTTCTCTGTCGATCCTCTCGGCCGTCAATAAATGTCCCGTCTTCCCGTGCAGAGCAAAATACTGCGTCCTGTCTTCGGAGACAACACGGACGCCGCGGTCTTGGAGCGCCGGCAGCTGCAGCCCCAGGTCCTTGGCCATATCTCCCACGAACGAGCCCTTGGGCATCTCCTCGGGCACCGAGTAGCGCAGCTGCCCCCACACCGCCTCCCAAGCCGCCAGCAGAACGCCCCAGAGCAGGATTCGCTGCCGCCGGCCCCAGCGCCTCCCCGCAGAGCACATCGCAGCCGCCGCACCGCCGGCACCGCAACACTGCAGGCAGATCCTCTCCACTGACCGCCAATTCAGTTCCCGCTTCGGCTACGATTTGCCGCTCTCCGTTGTTGTCGGTCTCTCCGCCTCCCTGTACCCCGGCTCTGCAACCCAGGGACGATCGGAAACCGACCACTTTCCTACTCAGGAATCCAGCGATCGAGCCGGTCCGCAGCGGGCGGGGCTGCAGCGCTCCGACCTTCCTCTCGCTCCTCTCGGTCAACAGCGGCGCCCGCAGCCTCCTCCCGGCACTGCAGGCACCGAGCGCTGCCGAGAGATGCCCGCCCCGCCCACGGGAAGCTCAAAAAGACGGGACATTGTCCACAAAGATGTCGGGTCCAGTACAGCGGAGACCTGGCGTTATGTTCTTTCTACCGCACGGGAAAATATTCATGTGATTGTGATAATCTCTACATACAAAGGTCTCTTAATATGGCATGCAGAATATTACAAATTGACTACTCTGTGGTAGGAAAGCTCAGCATCTTCCCTGCAAATGCACATTTTTTTTATGTCAT